GGTGGTAACGGCAGACTGGGTGGGGCTAAAAAGTTCAATCAATCAATTCCAACTTTGTGAGATTTTTTTTCCTGCAAGAAGTTCAAATTGATTGAACCTTTTTTTTTTTGCACACGGCGGTGGAGGCCTAAAGCGAAAAGGTTTTATAAAACCCAGCTGAAGGCCTAGGACTGGGGCGATGATGCGCGTGCCCACTGAGAGGCTCTGCGTGCTACCTGTGGCACACGTGCCATAGGTTCGCCACCACGGGGCTAGGGCATTAGCCGGTTCGCCGAAGACAACAAAAAAATTAGCTACCAGTTCTACCAAACTGGTGCGAACTGGCTGAATCCCACCACTGCCATAATAGATATTGTGGCCCTTTCTAGTCCAAAGGCTCTCCTGGCCATAGCCTCGATTTGCTTTTCTAGCAGAAGCTATGAATCCAAGAGAGATCCCAGATTCTGATCCTTTTCTGCATAGGGAAGTTATATTATATTTAGGACTAATGGTAAAACCTACTGGAATATTTTGGCTTCTGCATCCATACTTTCTCTTGCTGGCATTGCATCTAAATCTGTTTTAATTCATCTAGATCCTTACAAATTTCAGGCAGTAAAATCAGTTTGTTTTGACTACATGTTCCAAAGGCCAACTAGACTTGATAAAATTGACTATTAATGCCTTGAGAAACTTCCTGAGTATCCTTCAGAAATTAAGCAAATCTCAGGTCTCTAGGTAGATCAGACAAAAGGATCCATCTTTCCTGCCTATGTGACAGTGTGAGTTTTCCTGAAAATTATAGGAACCTATAGGGCTGCACCGAGGAAAAGAAAACAATAATAATATTGTAAGTTAGCAAGCCATCAGTTGAGTATCTCTAATTAATCAACACTATTGCATTATTTGTTTTATTCTTTGCTGATTATTCAAGGGATCATCAATATTTTCTGATGAAATAATAATAATAGCCAGCAAAATGTCCCTTTATCAATTAGAAAAAGGATTGTACATTTGTCAGCCTTTTCATCTGGTTGAAAAGAGCAGTGGAAATAGATGGCCTTTTAACATTCTCTTCTTCCCTAACATTCCAGGAAATAGTTGTATTATAATGCCAAATGGCACAGTGTAATTTTACAATACTGCTACCTATAGTTTTAAGATTCTAAGAATCTCCTTGAGGAAGAAATTTTTTTTTTAATTTTTATCCATCGACTAATATTACCAGTTAAAAATCCCAGGGAAGTCAATATGCTGAGTAGTATAAGATGACATCAGCTATTGGTATCATGTCTGGAGGCAATCTCAGGACAAACAGCCAGTGGATATCCATAGACTCTCCTTGTACTGATCTAATAATGCAGTTTTTATTCTGACTGAATGTAATACAATATGTGACTTGTTGCTCCATGAATGAATTTTGCAATCATGGCATGACTGAGAGGAGGAATGAAAGTAATTTTCTTCTACTTTCAACTAACCATGATTTTTTATATGGAAATAAGGTGAAACTGTTTCACTATATTTATCATGTTTTATCCAAACAATCCCATTTCAAATTGTGGTTTATACTAAACCTTCTGATTTGTCAGAATTCAGTTTTAATTATTTCTTTAAAACTCAGTTTTAATTTCACCAATGTCAGCCCTTCAAGGCAGGCCAGGTCAGGAAACAGACATTGCAAGAAATATGTCTACTTTATTAACATAGACTATAATAACAGAAACTTGAAAGCCTGCTAGCATTTTCTGTCCCTCCTCTTTATACCAAAGAGTAAAGGCAGTGAACACAATCTTGGATTTCTTTCTCAGCTTTCCTGTTTTACCAGACTAAGCTCATGTTCTACTAACAGTTGCCACATATTTTCTCCAAGTTAATCTCTGTACTCCTCTTATATCGAGCCCATTATCCAGTCCAAGCAGGAATAAACTGAGGAGCTTGGCACACTCGGTGATGAAGGGAAGGCAAACTAAATTTGTGTTCTGTCCCAGCCTATGTGAGTCCTTGTTAATTCACAAGGACAAATCCCTCTTTTAACAAGTAGGCTGGAAATGCAGGGAAAACAAACCCTTTTTATTAATTAGGTACAGATCTGCAAAATGTCCCAAAAGCAAAGGCAAACAAAACACGATGCAAACGGAGAATTGTCCAAGGCAAACAAAACACGATGCAAACGGAGAATTGTCCACAAGCAAGGCAAACATGGATTCCATGAAACAAGCAAGGCAAACATGGATTCCTTTGCAAACGATTGCTTTCAGCAACCAGCACCGCCCACACCTTCCCTTTTTATTATGCAGCCCCAAGGCGTGGCTTCTCAATGCCTTCTCCTCCTCCCTTGGAGTTGCCCCATTGCCTCCCTCTGTCCTGCTCTTGTTGCCTGTCTGCGTTTGCGAGCGTCTATAATGTCTTCCAGCTGTGAGTCCTCAGAGTCTGACTCAGCTTTCCCGCACAGCTGAGTCTCCGCCTGAGCACGATTGGAGGGGCCAGGCTCTTCATCCAATTGTAAGTCCTGGAGCTCATCAGAGCCTTCCTCCGACTCTGATGGCTCTCCAGGCCCCTCCTCCTCCTCCTCTTGATTCCCCGGACTCAGCTGCTGGGTCCAGTGGCTGGCACGGACTCACAACACTTTGTCATCAGTATAAAGGTATCACCCAGCCCCATAATTCCTGATGATAAACATCCAATGTCTTCATACAAATGTTAAATAGAATGGGCGACACAGTTAGCAGGTAATACAAGTTTTGTGATTATTACAACATAGAGGAAGGGTACAAAATGTATCCTACTGCCAGTAGTGCTAAAACACAGCAACCATTAGATGCAATGGTGTTTGTTCTGTCCAGTGAATGAAAACAACCAAAATGATGGTTGCAAGTTGAATATGTTCCCTAATGTACAGATCAACTGCAACTGTGCAGGGAAAAAATTACAGTTATGAATTCTCCATTTTCTCCAAATAGGGCTGGGATGATTCATGCTTAAAACTGCTTTCATCTGACAATTCTGGGTTTGGTAACCAATTATCTGACTTGGTGGTTGGCAAATTCTGGGATCCATTCTATATGCATAAAATACTCTTGTTCTGTTTCTGCCAATCCCTGATTTAGATTTCCAGGTACCAGTGAATTATCCTATAGATCAGCAGCTAAAGAAATGTCTGAAATATCCAAAATGTTATCTGGAAATAGAACACTGAAAACTGAGTGAGAGAATGTGTTGCATTAGAAACAGTGTTTATTAATTGGAGGGGGCACAATTGCAACATTTATAATATATGCTTTTTAATTAATCAAGAAACTGGAGAGAGCATACCAAAAGTAATTCTTTATGCTATTTAGACAATACACTGAGATTTTAAAATTCCAGTTGGAGAGGTGGCTTTATGCAGCCAGGGAGGATGGGAAGGGTTCAGGATGCTTTAATTACCTAATATAATAAGAGAGTAATTTATATTTTGCATTGAGTTGTGTACTAATTACATCTACCATTCTAGCAAAAAATTAGCCTTAGGTGCTGAATGACACAAAATAAATAGTTTTAAAAATTATTAGGAAAAGTTGATGAATAATAAACAGCAGTTATTCTAGTCTATTGATTTGTATTTACTGAATCAAAGAGATAAATATTTCTCTTACTTCAAAAATATGTTTAAATGAAACGTCATTTTCATTATAGTTATTCATTTGAACTAGATAGTACTTGGAAACTCACAAATTCAGGTTGTTTATTTATTTATATTTTATTTAATTTATATGGCTCTTTGTTTGAAGCACATACTCCGGGTACTGAATACAGTTACAAACATCAACATAATAATTCAGAATGAAAAATAAAGATACACAGCAACAACAAAATAATTGGTTTCACAAACAGTCAAGAATGAGCAAAGTAGAGCAGCTTACAAGGTGAATAGTTGTAATTGTTAAGATACGTTCTATTGATTCATTATTTTTATTTAACAGTATTATTTAACCTGTGCTAGATCAATGCAAAATTCCATCTAATTCTGCATTGTGTTTCTAATAATTAGCAAGACTTAACAGCGCTTTGCCATGTTAGAGATAATATAAAAACTATCATTAGAGATAGCCATTTACTTACATGGAGGGAAGTGTGTAGTGGGGTGCCCCAGGGCTCTGTTCTGGGCCCAGTGCTCTTCAACATCTTCATCAACGATCTGGACGAGGGGATAGATGGGGAACTCATCAAATTTGCAGACGATACCAAGCTGGCAGGAATAGCCAACACTCCAGAAGACAGGCTTAAGATACAGGAGGATCTGGACAGACTTGAACACTGGGCGCTATCTAACAAAATGAAATTCAATGGTGAAAAAAGTAAGGTTCTACATTTAGGCAAGAAAAACCAAATGT